GAAGGCTCCGGTTTCGGGTCAGCATTGTGGAGAGATTCCAACAGCAGTGTGAGGTGAGGCTGCAGTTGTCTAATCTTCAAGGGAAAAAAAGGAGGGTGATGTAAAGAAAATATCCTGCACCACCCCTCCCTCCAGATCTTCAAGATCTTAGCCTGCATTGTTTCACATGCTTTAAAAAGCCAGGGAACAAGCAGCATGATGCAGCTTTAGACAAGACAGTACTGTTGTTTTTCTCCCCGCTTTAGGTGGGAAAGAAGTTTTATTTCCCAATGCACTAGGTTGTGTAGACCAAAATGGTAACAGAAATGTGTTAACTGACTTTTTAAAACACTGTTTCCCCCTGATTTCCACAAAATACCAATGTCTCACCATATGAATTTGTTTGTGGTTTTGAGGCCTGGGGTTGGCAGAAACTCAACTTTTAAGCTTCACACTATCTAGAAACCTTCCTGTTCTCACTAATGAGCTGGCAGACTCCAGGCAGACTCCTCACTCCTCAGACTCAGACTTGCCTCGTGGTTGCTCCGAAGTCTACCTCACACCACATATTCCCACCTCAGTCAGCCCGTGGACTCACTCCAGCATCTGTAGCTTGCAGTCAGGGTGCAGAAGTCCCTCGCAGAGGAGCTTGAGCCCTGTGTCTCCAAGGGCATTGTTTCGTAGGTAGAGGTGTGTGAGGGTCTGGCTGGCTTTGAGCACAGAGGTCAGATCTGAACAACAAATGGATGTAAGGCCAGAATTCACCAACCTACAGGAAGAACAGAGGAAAGAGTCCTCAGTGCCCAGGCTCTCTCAGACATTACACATCACTTGGAGCTGCATCCTCCAACTTAAAGGTCAGACGCCAGAATCTAGAACACAATCTGAAGTGTGAACCCAGGTCTCTGGATCCCACGGGGGATATGAACAATGGTCTCAGCATATGCTCTACTTAGATGAGCACAGACAGAGAGCCAAGCAAATGGTCGGACACATCCACAGTTCCCACACAGAGAGGTTGGAGAGATGGCTCAGAGGTTAAGAGCACTGGCTGCTCTTCCAGTGGACCTGAGTTCAATTCCTAGAAACCACATGGTGGCTCACAGTTCTCACACAAATTCCCTCAGTCAACGGACACTCCTCCATACCACCTCATCTAAAAGAACAACCCACACTCCCCTAACTGTAATCCTCAGACACTGCAGAGAGCCATCTTGGTTCAGATGCCACCCTGGCAAGATAGCAATGCAGCCACAGTGCCACACACCTGTCATGGATTAGAAGCTGAAGGTCATGAGGTCGTGTCTCCCTAAAAGCCGATGAGCAGATTGCTGTAGGGAGCAGACTCAGAGTCAGTCAGGATTCTGCTGATTGACTGTAACCTACAGTGATGTGGCAAGAGAGGGGGCTGGGACTGTGTGGGCCAGGCAAGGTATGGTGACATCACCTTCCTCTCCAGCATCCACTCTCTGTCATTCTTCTATCCATCTGCCTGTTCCTTCTCAGAGCACAAAGTCACTGATTTGTACTAATACCAATGGAATGAGAGTTTTTAATTTTTTATCACATTTTATAATCGAGACAGACAAGAGACAGAGCATACACATCTGTGAAGCTTAGGGGACAACTCTGTGAAGTTGGCGCTTTCCTTCCACTCTGTGAGTCCCAGGAATTGAACTCCAGTTGTGAGGCTTGGTGGTGGGAGTCTTTACCTCTGGGGTCTCACAACAGTCTAAGAATTTTTGATTTACTATTCTTAGTAAATCACTGTCTACAGCCAAGTGTTGTGCTTTAAATATGTGTTCCCTCACAGACTCACATGTTTGAAAACTGGGTCCCCAGTTGGTGGTGCTGTTTAGACATACTGTGGAACCTTCAAGACATGTGGCCTGACTGGAGGAAATAGGTCACTAGAGGGAGGGCTTTATCTAGGATCACCTTCAAATATATCTGTGAGGAATTTTCTAGATTAGGTTAGCTAAGGTGAGAAACCCTACCTTAAATAAATGTGGGTGGCACCATTCTAGAGGCTGGGGTCCCAGACTGAATTAAAAGGAAAAAGCCAAGTGAGTACCAGCATTGTCTCTCTCTGCTTCCTGTTTGTGGATACAACGTGATTAGCTGCTTCACACTCCCACCCCCATGAGCTGAACACGTTGTGAACCACAATAAACCCTGTTTTCTCTAAGAGTGGTTTGTCAGATGTTCTGTCACTGCAGCAAGAAAAGTCACTAATCAACAGATAGCTTTGTTCTGTGGCCTGAACACAGATTGCTACATGCTGCATTCATTCCATGTGGTTTTCCTACTTATCAGCAACCTGCCTTGTTTCATTATTACAAATTCAAGATAAAAGTGTTATTTTCATTCCCTTTTTTGTTGTTGTTGTTTTGTTTCCTTTTGAGATAAAATCTCTCGTAACCCAGGATAGTCTCTAATTTGTTGTATGGTCTAGGGTGACTTTGAACTTCTGATCCTCCTGCCTCCATCTCTGGAGTGCTGGGATTACAAGCGTGTACCACCAGCCCCGCTTAAGAGGTGCTGATGATCAAACCCAGGGCTTTGTGTGCCACAAAAACACTGCCAACTAAGCTATAACCATAGCCTCCATATCTCTACATTTAATTAAGAAAAGTAGAGATCAAAATAATTATTTGAGTACCGGTAAGATGAATCAGTAGGAAAAGGCTCTTTCCTGCCAAACCTGATGATCTGAACTTGATCCCCACAGCCCACAAGATGAAAGAAAGGGGGCTAAGTCCTACAAGTTGTCATCTGACCTCTACATGCATGCCACAGCATACATACATACATACATACATACATACACACACACACACACACACTAAATAAATAAATAATTGTAATAGAATTATTAATCAGAATAATTACTTGAAAAATAATGAAAGCTTCCTATTTGTCAATGGGAAGAATAGAATCAGCCGAACTTCCATGAGGAAGAGATTATGAATGATAAAGAAAAGTAGAAGAATAGGCCAGGCCCTTGGAACAGAAAACTAATTCAATAATCTCAGAATGAGTGGAAGGTGGGATGATAACTGCCCCCACCTACTAAAAAAAGAAAGAAAGAAAGGAAGGAAGGAAGAAAGGAAACGACAAGACAATGAAGGAAGTGAAAGTAGTGGAAACTTGTAACTGCCCTCTGTGAATTTGCTGGGAAATCTCTGAAAAGTACCCTGCTCAGCAAGTTAGAGCAGGGCCAGGAATGGGTCTAACAGTAGTTGAAGGGAGGGGTGTTATAATACCTAAGCTAAGTTTTATGTGCCCATGTGTGACACTTCTGTAACACAGGGGATCTGGGACTAGATATATTGTGCAACCAGAGAGACTATGCTAAAGTTCAAGAGAAGAAAATAGTAATATATAAAAATGTCTAAAATTTTTAGATTGTTCATTCCACATTAGGGATCTATTGTGAAATAAATACACACACACACACACACACACACACACACACACACACAAAGTTATATATACAAGCATGTATTTTACAGAGTGATTGTAACAGTAAAAATGGAGAAACTTGACCAAAAGTTCTTGACTTAATGAGTGGCTAGATAAATGATGATGAGAGGTACTATGAGGTATTGTGTTCCAAACTATTTTCATGAAGCCATATGGAAATGTATGCAGATAAATGAAAAACCAGCCAAAGCAAATATTTATATTGTGTTTCTAGTTTGAATAGCTAGTCACTGTTGGGTTGAATTCTGTCCTCCCAAAACATTTGTTGAAGTTCCAGTTCTTTAAAATATGACTATCACCCTGCAGTGGTGGCACACACCTTTAATCCCAGCACTTGAGACACAGAGGCAGGTGGATCTCTGTGAGCTGACGGTCAGCCTGGTCTACAGAGCGAGTTCCAGGACAGCCAAGGCTACACAAAGAAACCTGTGTGGGTAATTTGAATATAATTGTCCCCATAAGCTCATAAGGAATGGTACTATTAGGAGGTGTGGCTTTGTTGGAGGAAGTGTGTCACTATGGGAGATGGGCTTTGAGGTCTCATATATTCTCCTGTCATACCCAGTGTCTCAGACCACTTCCTGTTGCCTGCAGATCAAGATGGAGGACTCTCAGCTCCTTCTCCAGCGCTATGTCTGCCTGCAGCCACTCATACTATGATGATAATGGACTAAACCTCTGAAAATGTAAGCCACCCTGTGGTGGTTTGAAAGAAAATAGTGCCAAAGGGAATGGCACTATTGGGAGGTGTAGTCTTTTTTGATTAGGTGTGGCCTTGTTGGAGGAAGTGTGTCACTGTGGAGGCAGGCTTTGAGGTCTCATATATGCTCAAACCACACCCAGTGAGGAAGACCACTTCTTGTTGCCTGTGAGTCTAGATGGTGCTAGAGTCCTTCTCTAGCACTAAGTCTGCCTGCACACTGCCTTGCTTCCCGCCATGACAATAATGAACTAAATCTCTAAACTGTAAGAGAGCCACCACAATTAAATGTGTTCCTTTATAAGAGTCACTGTGGTCATGGTGTCTCTTCACAGCAATAGAAGCCCTAACTAAGACACCCTGTCTCTAAAACATAAATGTGACCATAATTGGACATCAAACCTCACAGACGTAGTTGGCTAAGATGATGTCATTAGGTGGGCCCAAATCTAGTATGACTGACATCCTATCCTCATCAAAACCAGAGCTTCTGACTGGAGAGGTGCTCGGCAGTCAAGAGAGCCTGCTACTTTTCCAGAAGGCCCAAGTTTGGTTTCCAGTACCCAAGTCAGGCAGATCACAACTACCCATAATGCCATTGGGGGGGAGTAGGGGGGATTCCATGTCTTCTTCTCACCTCCTCGGCACTGTACTCATATGCAATATCCTCCCTGATACATACTCATACACATAATTAAAAGTAAATAGAAGGAGAAACCTATCTAAAGATAAAGGCCACAATCAAGTGATGTCTACAAGCCACGGTGGCAAAGACTTCCAGTAAGAAAAACAAAAGAAGACTCTCTTGCTCATGGCTCTCAGAGG